TTTTTTTTTTTTTTTAGTTATAAAGTCCTTTACCTCCAAAGCTAAAGATACCCTCTCATGCTGTCTTCTGAAAGCTGTAGGTGTACCTTTCATGTTTATGTTATCTTTTTTCTCCAAAATGGATCATTACTATCATTAGTCCATTTTTTCTTGCTGAACTGTAATGTCATTCACTCTAACATGTATCAGGTCCATTTAAGTGTAGAGGGTCAATGTGTAGGTAACTCTGGGCCAATGCCGCATCATCTCAATAACAGATTTAATAAGAAGCATTGATACCTCATCTGGTGAAGCCTCCTCACTTTATTCTTCAAAATGATCTTGGTTGTTCTTGGCTCTCTTTGGCCTTCTTTATAAATCTCACAATCAATCTCTCATTTTCCATGAAAAACTCCACTGGGATTTTGATGAGAAACACATTCCTTTTCTAGATTAATTTTAAACAAAACTCCAGAGATATCTTCCCATTAACAAACATGGCATATCTCCCTATTTAGTGAGACCTTTATTGTATCTTTCAATCTTAGTTATCTTATAGGACACGTTTAAATTTTAATTAAAAAGGGGGGACACCTGTAGGACATCATGTATTGGGACACAGCATGCAACTAATTTGTGTATCTAGTAAATTTGGCTAGCAGTTCTAATACTTGTCTATAGATTCAATTACTTGTCATAATCTACAAACAATAATTTTATTTCTTTCAAATCCTTATTCCTTTCATTTATTTTTATTTTATGCTCCTTTTGCTAAGACCATCAGCACGGTGCTCAAGAGCAGCAGTAACTGCAGGTCCAATTGTCTGGGCCATGCCTTTGAAGGGGGTCTGTCTAAGGCTCCCTGTTAAGATAAAGTCCTGCTGTGGATTCTTAGTGGACACCATTATCAGTTTCAGGTAGCCGTTTTCTATGCCTAGGCTGCTAAAAAGTCATGAATTATTTTGATTTTTATCAAATGCTTTTCTCTATCTACTGAAGGTCCAAATGGTTTTTATCATTTTCTCTTTGTGAATTACCTTAATGATATTTACAATGTCACAATATCCTCACATTCATGAGATATATCCTTGCATGACTTAAAACATGGCTGGATTTGGTGTGCTAGCTTCTAAGTTTTGTGCATATATGCCCACACGTGAGATTAGCCTACCATTCATTTCCCCCTTTCATGCCGTCTGTTTTGCCGTGACCTCACAATGGGTTGGGGAGTATCCCCTCCTGTGAGTTGAAATGCTCTGCATAACATGGAGACCAAAGCTCTAAGCACTGTTTTAACTGCAGCCTGCAAGTTTATATAAGTTTTTTCATACTCTTTTTTTTTTAAAGCTATCATCATTTTGCTACTGAATTCTAAGGACTGCATGATGTTTGAAAAAATGATCAGTGTGATATTTGGTTGTGATGGGCTGAGCTTTGTAGCTTGTATACAAGTCAATTTCTACTATGACTAAAAATCTGCCAATTCTTTATACTCATGTATTTTGAATCTGCTAGACTTAAACTACAGGGAACAACAGGCAGAGACACTTAGGGACCCAAACGTTTTTTTCCCCCCCAGGAATCCAAACTTTTCATCTCTTAAATTTACTGAGTTTACCGGAGATATTAGACAGTAGGCTAAGGTCTGAACACACATTTGAATCAAATTAAAGACATTAATATTTGAGGTTTCTCCCCATCATCCTCCCAACAACCTGAAGCTGCCAGTACGATCTCACCCCCGGTTACCTTTTGAAGACCGCAGTTTCTGTCTTGGCATCTACAGTGAGGCTGAGAGTTTCCTTCATGCCGCCATTCATCACCGTCTCAGTTACCTTGCCTGTACTTTCTGCATCTTCCTCTCCGTCAGAGCTGGCTTCCATGGCCACACTGCCTGGCACTGAACAAACAAACATACAACACACAGCTGATGGTCACCCACACCAAAACCAAACAAGAACTGTCACCCCTCTTCTTTGCAGATCTGTCCAACCAATGTGACATCTCCACACGAAGAAGAGTGTGATGGTTTGCCTGTTGTGGCGTGGGCCAATTCTGGATGGGCACCGGCCTCTTCACAATGCCCGCTGGAGAAACGTTCCATGGGTTTACTTCAGCACAGGACCAGCGAGTCCTCGCAGCCCTCCAAGCTGTGTCTGCCTACACACCCAACTTTCCCCAGCAGACCCTGCTGTTCCTGATGCTCTCCAGCCCACAGCTCAGGGCAGAGGAGGCAGGATGGATTCTACCTCCCCTACTTCCACCCACAGGACACACTCACAGTGCTGCCACGGCCTGTCCTCATCTCTTTCAGTTGTCCCACTAGGGTCCTATCCTTTTTTTCAAATTCCTTACTGTGGTTCCTTGTGGATGATTTCTTTTTTGTGTAATAGGGAGCCATCTGGTCTACTGGTTATAAGCTTGGGCTCTATAGTCAGATTTCCTGAATTCTAAGCCCAGCCTCACCACTGACTAGCTATATAACCCTGGGTAAGGCACCTCACTTGTTCGTGAAGCTTTTTTTTTTCTTTTTTAAAAAAATCTTTATTGATTTCAGAGAGAGGAAGGGAGAGGGGGATAGATAGATAAAAGCATCAATGAAGAGAGTCATTGATCAGCTGCCTCCTGCATGCCCCTAACTGGCCATCGAGCCTGAAACCCGGGCATATGCCCTGACCAGGAATCGAACCCAATCTCCTGCAATCTCTTGGATTAGGTTGATGCTTAACTGCTGAATCACACCAGCTGGGCCGTACCTGAAGTTCTTAACCACAACATGGGGAATAACTGAACCCACCCATAGAACTGTTGAGGGACAAAGTGAGGTCATGTATACAAAATGTTTAATAGAATGACAATGAAACCAATATTAGTACTGGTTTTATTACTTTCCCTGCCCCTTGGTCCCTGTGCCCTCTACTGTATCCTCACCGCTTTCTCTAAGGACTGACTTCTTTGTTCCCTCCACATGCTACAGATTTCCCCTCACATCCCCTTCACCAACCTCCTCCCTCTCCCCCACCTCCCAAAGTCCTGTCCTTCATGCTGAAAACAGTTCAGGGCCCACGCTAGAAACGACGTGCACATTTTGAATACCAGGACAACCCAGGGGTACCCCGACCATTCTCTCTGTTCATGAAGGCGAGAGGGAAATAGCCTCACAGCCTGAGACACACCCAGGCACACACATGCTCCTGCAAAGTAAATCCCAAGGGACAAAGAACAGGGTGCTGACTGGGCTTGGAAGGCACATTAATTCAGGTCCTATTCCTCCAGGGACTACAGGCTGAGACCTTCCACCTTTTGGGGCCTGTCTCCTTTTCTGCACATTACGGGACTGAGTGGCTGAGTGCTCAGGGTCCTTACTCCCTCTAGGATCGACATGCTATGGTTCCAGAGCAAACGCACGATGTCTTTTCTCCAGCTGCCCTGTGGACATGAGACCCACCATTTTCCTGGCTCCTTTGAGCTCTTGAGCTTGAGAGTGGACAGTCAAGTGTGGTTTTATAAACCTGCTACATGGATAAAGATAGCTTTTCAGATCTAGAAAAGTTAAGCGCCATTAAAGCCTGAACAACCACAAAGTGATGGCCTGCGGGCCGTGCCCTGGCTCTCTGCACCCACCTTCGGGCTGCACGGCCAGTGCGGCAACACTGGGAGTCAGAGGGTCCATCGGTTCAGTGCTAGTTTCCATTTCCACTGGAGAATTACTCCTCAAAGATTCTTTTGTACTTTTAGAAAAGAGAAAATTCATAGGTTAGCAGTGGGTAATAGCCCCCCGTTACCATTATTCACAAGAAAACCTTTGAAAATCAGTTCTGCTTCGCTGGGAAGGCACCAGCAGTTGGTTACAGACCCCCAGGACACTCAGATCTACGTGTGGGAGGCAAACATCCGTTCTCAGCAGGGCAGAAAGCAGGGACTTCTCCCAGGTTCCTAGCAGCCCCAGCCTCTCACTTCCCCATAATCACAGCTCCCAGGGCAGGGACAACGGCACACACTGCACAGTATCAAGAGCATCTCCGTGTCAGTCTACAAAAGCCCTGACTTATGGAGAGCCAAACTGCCGGAGGGCCCGGCCCTCTGAGAACACTGACTGAGAAAACTCGAGCTGTGTACAGGAGGAAGGGAAGCAAGCCGCTTCAACAACGTTCTTAGGTAACCAAGGGCTGGTATGGTCCAGTTAGAAAAAGAGAGAAAAGCAAAAGGTGGAAACATGACTAGAGTCAAGATGGTGAAATAATTCATATTTTGGAGACATTTTCCACCAATCTTATTTATTTCTGAAGAGCAGCTTGCTTACTGCTACTATTAGAGTTGCTATAAAGCAACGTGGGTTTTAGCCTACTCTTTGGTTTGTCTAAGATGGTAACTGCTCACTCATCTTTTCATAGAAAAAATAAAACATTCTGCAAATCAAACTAAGTCTAAAGAGATGCAAAATCCATGGTGAATACTCAAATGCCGACAATACTGTTCAGGAAAATTACGAAATGGGTGGTTGCTGTCATCGAGAATAAAAGTAAGACTGACAGCCTACATGCCACACCCTGTAACTTATAGTACTAGATGAGCTACATGTGGGAGATAAGTCCACAGTATTAAACTCAAGACATAGGAGGTTCTGTCAGATCCCTAGCTTCTCATGACTCTCTCCTCAGTCCTGTCCTGACAGCTGGGGGGGCCACAGCAGGCCTGGGAGATGCCATCTTCATCAGCAGCCCTTCCACTAGCTCCCTGGGGCCAGGTCTTCCCAGGCTGCAGGTGTAGGACCTACTCCTCTCTCCCTCAGCTCACCCTTGGTGAAAGGAAGGAGGGTGGAGACTGTTGTTCTGGTACCTCGGAGCTGTGTCAATATCTCCCCCATGCTGATTTTCAGTCTTGTTTAAGGGACTTGGGAGTAAGTCAGGGTGACAAACGGTGCCAACGGCAAGCACACACCACCCATTCTCCTGTGGAAAGGTGTGGAGAGCTGGCGCGCATGCTCACCTCAGGGAGGACGTGAACTCTGAGAAAGAGGCCCAGCCCGTCTCTTTCGCTGGCATCGGCTCCTCTGTGCTCCAGACATCAGAGCCCACGGAGTCTAAGGGAGCACCGTGGGTTGTCTCCATGGGGACATCAAAGTTGGCTGACCAGTTGGGTGCTAAAGAGGGGAGGAATTTCACTTTGAGGACACTTCAGTAGTTAATATAACACAAGGTATTTTTCAGAAACAGATTCACAATGACTGAAAAAGATGGGGGTGTGGGAAAAAGGTATCCCTTCTCCCACAATCACTGGATAGGAGCAGAGAGCACTATCACCTGGAGGGCAGCCTTACAGTATCCGTCCTATCACACACTGCAGTGCCCTCTGATTCTTAGCAATTCCCCTAAGATTTTTTCCCCAGTAGAATATCACACAAAGATGCAAAGCTACCCATGAAAGAATATACTAACGTTAACGTCTTAGTTTTATCAAATTTCCCAAGGTCATATTAACATTGGGAAGGAAGGTGGGTGAAGGAAGCTACTCCCTGGAAAATCTTTGCAACTTTTCTGTAAATCTAAAATTATTCCAAAATAAAACGTTTGTTAAAAGTAAAAGAATATGTTGCTAATTCAACTGCAGTAAATGGTAAACAACCTTAATGCTTCCCTGTCTGCATCTGGCCTACTTCAGCCCTTAAGGGACTCCCAGCAGTCTCCCGTGGCCAGCCTCCTGTGGCTAATCTCCTATAGTTAGCAGGGACACCAGGAAGGATTCCTGGGATGCAATAAGCAATGTATTTGGTCCCCCTCCCCCACTCCAATCTCTGAAATGAGCTGACTGGTGGGTGGGGGCTCCTGGACCACCTGAGGAGGGGGCTGGTTGCCAGGGAAACCAACCTTGTAGGAGGGAAGAGGGGCTGGAAGTTGAGCTCATCATTAGCGGCCATGATTTAATCAGTTATGCCTACTTCATGGAGCCCCTATAAAAACCCCAGGTATAGGGTCAGAGCTCCTGGGTGAGCCCTGACAAACTGCATGGGGCCAGAAGCTCCTGTGCTCAGGGCCCTTCCAGACTGTCTTATTCATCTCTTCATTGGCTGTCCGTGTGCATCCTTTAAAATAGCCTTGGTGATAAGCTGGTAACAGCAGTCAAGGGCTCTTGCGAGTTCTGTGAGCTGTTTTAGCAAATAATGGAGCCCAAGAGGTCATGGAACTCCTGATTTACAGCAGGCTGGCTGGAAGTACCGGAGGCCCAGCCTTCTGATTGGCATCTGAAGTGGGGGAGGGCTGTAGAAGCCAGCCCTTCCCCTGTGAAAGCCCAGCCAACTCCAGGTGGACAGTATCTGAATGGAACTGCAGGGCCCCAGCTGGCATTGGAGCCTTGGTCTGAGTGGGAAAAGCCCACCAGCTGGTGTCAGAAGTGAAGCTGTGAGAGCAGAGAGAGGTTTTGTTGTCTATTTTCTAACTCCTACAGACATGGGCTGATTTCAGTGGGAGGTAGGGATGTCGGGATCTGCATGGAGCATCTGATTCCTGTCTGCAGTGCCTCTCACGATGACACCTGACTGCCAAGTTTGGATCTGACTTGCAAGTCTGTTTAAGTGTCACCTCCTCAGATGTGTCCCTTCAGCTGACATGAGGCCTGTAATTTGTGCTCAGTGCACCCCAAGCTTCCCCTTCCCAGCACTTACGCTGACTCCCCAATCCTCACTGGACACAACTGGGTGTGGAAACCCCTGCTCTCTCTCGGGGCTATTTCCTATCACACTGGGGACTCCAGGCTGTATGGAAGGATGCTAGCCTAGGGAATTTGCAGCCATTTGGAAGATTATCCTTGAGAAAAAAGACTGAGAAGTACCTGTGTACAACAGAGAAGTCCAGTTCTAAAGACCTTCCTGTGACTTTGGGCAAGTTCTTTCACTTCCCCAACCTAGGTTTCCTCGTATGTTTAATTCCGGCAGGGACCCCACTCACTGAGTTTCACTGAGGATGCAGTGAGGGCCTGCACATCGTAGGTGCTGAATTGGGGCCTGCTCTGTGCTTCCTGCCCCTCAGTCTGTATGAGTGGGCAGGGCTGCACTGACACCAAGGGATGATACCTGAATGCTTGGAAATCTCACGTGAAACGCTTAGAAGGTTAACAGTATTTTTAACAGGCCAGCTAATGCAAGTCTTCTCATCAAGTAGCAGGACATAAATAAGGGAGTTTCAGGGTTGCAGGATTACAAATAAACTCTGAAAAGCCCATTTAAATCTGTTTAAGCTTTAAGGTGTTTCCTCTGGCTCAGTGCATTCATGATTCTATGCGCCTCATCTTGCCACAGCTGCAGGGTCTCCCCCTTGGCACCAGCACCCAGAGGTCACAGTGTGCCCTGTCCCCTAGGCAGGCTCACACAGGGTTTCCACACAGAGAGGAGAAGAGGAGCCACCATCAGAGGTGTGACCTGCTCCTTCCCTCAGGCCCCATCAAAAGACAACATGTTTTAAGGACTGTCCCAACACAAAGCAGCACACATGGGAGAGCAAGGCAACTCACGCTCGCTGAGGTCCACCTCCATCTTGTCCTCCGTGTTGGCGCTACTGGAGTCAAACAAGTCTTGTTTGGTTCCGTCTTCTTCCTCAGAGTCTGTGCTTTCCTCACTGTCTGTACTCCCCGAGCTAAGAAAAAAGGGACCGGAATAGTTAATGCTGCGTATGGGCCACCAGCTAAACCCAGAAAATTCTACAGGTCACCTGACAACAGAAAAGAGCCTGGCACTTAACTGGAACTTGCCTGTCTGACGTCATTTCATCAGGACTCTGCTCTGTGAGCACACTGCCTAATCCTTTACTCAAAGATCTAGACCAAGACCTAAGGCTGCCTTCCAACAGGTATGCAGAGGTGGCTAGTGGTGGTGCCAACCTGCCTATTCCTAATGACCAAGGATACTGAACTCCTTCTCCCTGCTGCTTTTCTGAAGATTTTTCTCATCTTTAGTGAGCGTGAAAACTGGGTTACTGTCGTCTTTCTCATGATAGTTCTGAGAGTTCTCCACAGCCTCTCCTACAAGTCCTTTACCAGACATGTGACTCGCCATGTTTCCTCCTAGCATATGCTCTGGCCTTTCATTCTCTTAATAGTGTACTTTGAAGGGTAGAAGTGTATAATTTTGATAAATTTAAACTCACTAAAATTTTTTTTATGTATAGTGTTTTTGGTATTTTATCTTACAAATCTTGCCCTGTGTGGCTCAGTGGTTGAGCATAGGCCTATGATCCAGGAAACCTCAGTTCAATTCCTGGTCAGGGCACATGCCTGGGGTGTGGGCATGACCCCCAGCAGGGGACGTGCAGGAGGCAGCCAATCAATGACTCTCATCACTGATGTTTCCATCTCTCTCTGAAATCAAGACATATTAAAAATAAAATTTAAAAAAATCTTTGCTTAACCCAAGGTTATGATGGGTTTCTAGCATAAGTTTTATAGTTTTACATCTAGGTCTATGACCCATTTTGAGTTCCTGTGTATGTGTGGTAAGAGGTATGCACTGAGCTGATTTTTTTGCATGCACATACGCAACTGTTCCAGCACTATTTATTCCAAAGTCTATCCTTGCTCCACCGAATTGTTTTACCATCTTCACCAAAAATCAGTTGTTAATGTACCTATTTATGGGCTCCATTCTGTCCCCCAATCTAGTCCCTGTCCTGGCAGTCACACTGTCTTAATTACTTGAGCTCAGGTTATGCTGGCCTCCAATTCTGTTCTGTATGAAAGCTGTTTGGGCTATTCCAAGTCCTTTGTATTTTCACATGAATTTAAGAATCAACTTGTCAACAGCTAACAAAAACTTATGATTTTGTTTGGGGTTGCACTGAATCTAGACCAATATGGGTAGAACTGGATTCTTAATTGTACTGAGTCTTCCAACTTATAAACACACATCCTTTATCAAGTCTTGGTGTCTCTCAGCTGTTTTGTAATTTTCAGCGTGCAGGTCTTCCACATCTCTTGCCAGGTTTATCCCTAAGCTTTTAATACTTTGGTGCTACTACGAATGGCATTGTGTAGTTATTTCTATTCTAACTGTCTGTCTATGGCAGTATACCGAAATACAACTGTATTGACTTTGTACTGGGCGATCTTGCTAGACACTTAATTGTTCAAGTAGTCTTTTTGTAGATTCCAATTAACTTTCTACATTGGCAGGCATGCTGTTTGCGAATAAAGATAGTTTTATTTCTCCTTTCCAACCTAGGTGTGCCTTTTATTTCTTTTTCTTGACTTACTGCACTGGCTAGAACCTCCAGCAAAACAGTGAAAAGCAGTGGTGAGTGTAGTTTATTCCTGACCTTGAGGGGAAATCATCTGGTGTTTTACCATTATGAATGATGCTAACTGTAGGTTTACCTAGAAGCTTTAATCAGGTTGAAGAAATTCCCTTCTATCTCCAGTTTGCTGAGAATTCTTAGAAATAGATGCTGGATTCAGCCACATGCTTACTGACTTTAAAATGTTAAACCAAACCAACTCAGTATCCTGGAATAAACCTTACTTGGCCCTAATATATTACTGTTGCATGTATTTGCTAAAGTTTTAAAAGGATTTTTTGGCTTTGGCTGGTGTGTTTCAGTTGGTTGGAGCATCATCCTGTACACCAAAAAGTTGTGGGTTCGATTTCCAGTTGGGGCGCTTATGTGAGGCAACCAGTCAGTATTTCTCACATCAATGTTTTTTTCTCTCTCTCCCCCCATCCTCTCTAAAATCAGCAAACATATCCTTGGGTAAAGATTAAATATATATATGGAGTTTTTGCATCTATGTTCACGAGAATAATTGGTCACTTTTCTTGTAATGTAGTGTAGTACCAGCTTCTGGTATCAGGCTGTGCTAATGTGGCAGCATAGAATGAGGCAGGTACGATGGCTTCCTTTCAACTTTTTGGAAGTTTCTGTATAGAACTGGTATAATTTCTTCCTGAAATGTTTGCCAGAATTCACCAGAAATGTCTGTAACAGACACAGGACTATTCAGGTTATCTTTTTCGCTTGAGTTTTGGTAGTTTGTATCTTTCAAAGATTATCTTAGTTGCCAGAGTAACCGGCCTAGAGCTGTTTGTAAGATTCCCTTACATCCTTTTAGTGAGTATCTGTGGGGGTCTGTCATGTCGTCACCTCTCTCATTCCTAATATTAGTAACGTGTATGTTCTTTTTTCTTAATCATTCTGTCTAGAGGTATAACAATTTAATTAATCTTCTCAAAGAACAACTTTTGATTATAATGACCTTCTCTATTGTTTTTCTGGTTTGCATTCTAGTTTCTTAAGGTGGAAGCTGAGGTTACTGACTTGAGATGCTGCTGCTTTTTAAAAATAATCAGTTAGGACTAAAAATGATACTTTAAAGTATTGTTTAACTGCACCCTCCAAATTCTGACATACTGTTTTTATTTTTTTTCAATTAAAAATAGTGTAATTTCCCCTCTGATTTCTTCAATTCATGAGTTATTTAGCTTCCACATATTTGTAGATTTTCTAGAGCCCTCTCTGTATTTATTTCTAATGTAACTCCACTGGGGTCAGAGAACATACTCTGTATGACTTGAAACCTTGTTTACTGAGACTTGCTTTATGGTCTAAAAACAGTCTCTCTGAATAACTATTTCATGCGCACTTGAAAAGAATGTGTGCCCTGCTGTTGGGCGGAGTGCTTCACAAACGTCCAACAGGTCAGGCTGGTTGGTAGTACTGATTTCTTCCTATTGTTTTATCAATAATCTGATTACAACTGTGGATATGCCTACTTCTTGCAGTTCAATCAGTTTTTCTTCATGTACTTTGAGGCTGTTATCGGGACACAGACCTCCAGCTGCTGTTCTCTTAACTAAAGACTCTGACAATGAACACGCAAAAAACAGAAGCACGTCTATTTAGGTTCTTGTGATACAGTGACTTAAAGAATGTAAGGGGGAAAAAGACTGAATTGATTCTGATGGGTATCAACTGACACGAGTCTGTCTCCCCAAGTTAGATTAGCTCTTAGAAGCTTCTCCCTCCTTGGGGAAATATTCAGTCTGTGTAAGAAACAATACATACCCCAGCTGCTGCTGCTATGGCTGGTGAAGGAGCACTTACTCAGTGCTCCATGACTATGTCCCAAGCATCGGTTCCCAGTGAGACGAGGCTGTGCCACAGCGTTTCATGAACTACACATAAGCACTCCCCGCGTGTTCGGGTGGGTCACCTCAACTTGCCCATTCTCCTGTCACACTAGAGACGGGAGTACTGGCACCAGCTCATCACAGCAGTTAACCAGGTATTTCTGATTATGACAAAAGCTTTGGTCTAGGCCAGATATAATGTTAGAAGAGGCTACAGTGATTTCTCCTAATGATCTTTGCTTTATGCACTGGGTATTATTACTACTGAAAGAGACTCTGCTTTACCTGGACCGTCTTTGGGATTCTGGCGTAAACGCAATGTGCTTCTCCTCCCAGATGTCTTCCTCATCAGAGCCGCCATCATCAAACTGCTGGATTCTTTCCTTACAACATGCTTCAAACAAGGCAATGTTTCCCTAAATAAAAACAAGAGGAGAAAGAGAACAAAAGTTTAAAGCTCAATTTTTCTCCAAAAGTTAACAATGTAAATTGCATTCTTCTATTTCCTTTAAAAAACAGTGCTGATTATATACACCAAAATAAATTGTAAATATCTAATGTCAGCCTCTGTGGAAGTAACAAGTTCCATCACTAAGACTGGACTCAAAACTAGCATTCAAGAAGCTGAGACTGTCTTTGTGGGCTCACTTTCATCTAGTGAAAGCACCCACTCACCTGAGATGCACTCCCCTATCTGTTGGACAGGAAAAGCACTTGTATTTCCTCTACTCTTCCAGTTCAGCTAAGCAGTGATGAGCACCAACTGAGTTCAGCACTTTCTACATTATCACATCAGCCAATAAAACAGTGATCTCTCATACTAATCAACATAAAGATCAATACTGTGCCACTCAAACACTAATTCAACAGATCAGTTGCTGAACTGGGTGACTGGGTGTCAGAACTGCCCAGGGCTGAGAGGCTGATGATGACCTAGCCCAAACTTCTATTCTGCTGACGTACAGCAGATATAAAAGGTAGCAGGCTAGCATCAAACTTTATTCTGAGCTAAATGTCTACATTGCAATCAAAAGTGACCCTGGTTTTATTAGCCCTGTCGCAGCTTAACCACAGGGCAGGCAGGCCGCGTGAGTGGGTAAAGCCCCCATCTAAAAGAAGGCTGCTGGCCCCAGAGGCCCCAGTGCACACGGCACCCACATGCTGCCTGTCACGCCCAGCTCCCACTTGTCCTTACTGCTCATGCAGGAAACCTGAATACTTACACTTTCATTTGTATTGAGGGTAAAGTTGATGTCTGATACCCGATCGAAAGAAACACTGTAAACAAAATATAAGTGTTGGAATAGTTAATGATCTAGACTCACAGAAACACTATTCATGAAATTTCCCAAATTTAAAATATTTATACTATCACTAAAATCTCTATACGTTAAAAAAACACACACCCTGCTTGCATTAAATGATCCCCTCCTTTGGAATGAAGGAACTCATATAAAATGGGAAGGCTGAAATGGAAGCCTTTTGAGAAACAATAAACACACCCTCAAAGCCGTCCTAGGAAACATTTTTAACATCCACGGACAACCATGGCTCCATAATCAGGAAAAAGGTTACTCGCAAAGAAGAAACAAGTCAAAACACACACAAAAGCACACAAAAGCTGTCAGACACTAAGCTTTCCCCAGGCACAGCCAAAGTCATACATACAATACACAGACATCCCTGAAATCTTCGGCTCTAATATGGCATCATTAGAAAGAAGGTAGAGAGTAAAAAAATTCATAGCCTAGTAACATAATTTTTTAGTAGGTGGGGCTATCATCATTCTTAAAAGATCTGTTCTAATCAACCATTATTCTATGCCCCCAATACAAATTTTAAAGAGATCGTGGAGCCCTAACTAGAATATTAAGTGCAGACAGGAATGTGCTGAGATGCCACGTGGGGAGCCGGGAGGTTCCGGTGTGTGAACCCCTGCGGTTCTGACACCAACACTCCCTTTGGACTTCTCAGGGCTGTTGACAGCCTCCCACTCCTGAGCCGAAAGTGGAGCCTGAGGCGCAGGTGCCAATGTGGCCTGTTGCACGGCAGTTACGGTGTGCTGAAAGTCTCTGAGCTTCTCCATGTCTAAACTCCATGTGGCTGTGACAGACGACAGCTTCCCCTGGCTGTAGTTCAACAAACTATTGTGAGGAATCGCAACAACCCAGCGTTCACAGCGTCATCAGCGAGTCTCCTATGACAGCAGCCACCCAACATTCAAAACTCCGTTCTCAATGAGCTGTACTGCCTGTCTCTTAAACACTTTATTCCAAGGACAGATGCTAGGTTTGTTTCCATTTCTGTGGGTCATGCACACATCTCCTATCCACTGGTTTTCTACAGCACCAGTAATCCCCACTGCTGTGCTCCTCTTACCCTGACTGCAGAGAGAGTAGTCTGACTGCCTGGCTCTTGCAAAAAACCCAACTCTACTTTCTGGTTGGTCACCTAGAGAAGAGAACACAGGAGGGTGGAGCTGCTCCTGCTGTTACATATACCCGCACCGTGTGCTGTACGGGAAACTGCTGGCTCACACCAGGGAACTAATACAGGGGCTTCCGGCTTTAAATAATGCCACCTAACACTAATAGTTAAAAGGGCAAAGCATGACTGAGTTTCTAAATCTAGTAAAAATAAACCTCTGCGAAAGAGGTCAAGCCCAAAGGCAATGCCTCTTAGTGGGAGACAATCTAATTCCTCCCTGTGTTTAGGGTGCTGCATGGCCGGGCAGGCTGAAAACTAAAGGAACACCAGGGAGGGCGGGTTCCTCCTGATTCACGGATGCGGACAAGTTCCAAAAATCCAGGAAAATCACAAATGTCTCACCAACAGCAGGGGCACACGAAACAAATATGGGAGCAGGAAAACATACTCACTTGCCAATGTCATCTTGATCTGCAAACTTCTCATCGTTGAAGCCAAACTGGTCAATAAAATTGGACGTCATTTGTTGCATCTGATAATCAGAAAAGGCCTGGCAACCCCAGGACCAGTGACAGTGATATAATGATTCTAATGACATTCTACACACTACTTGCCCACTTGTGTTCCAGAAACCACCTTGCTTACACAGTCATGGGGCTTTAAAAGTTGGTGTGTTTTCTAAGAAAAAAATCAAATAATTTCAGACATAATCTGAACGAGGAAATGCTTGGAATTTGACCCACAAATCACTCTAATGCAGATATCACTGTAATACATGTTAAATGACCACTCTGTCCTCTCCTACACATTATCTTGAGAGAGGACTGGGTTGTCCAGTTCAAAGAGGTAATTTAAGTGACATGTGACAGTTTGAAATTATAAGGTGTATCAGCTACTTCTGGACACAACCAACCTTCTCATTAAGATCCAACACGTGGTGACCACCCACCACCCTCTGCACCCCCCGCCCCAATCCATTACAGCAATATAGCACTAGAGAAACAACCATGACCCTACAGACACAACGTTCTGGGACACTTAAAAAAAAAAAAAGAAAAAAAAAGTAAGTCTTAGAGGCTGGGAAGAATATAAAAGCACCTTCTATCCTACCTACCTTAGAGACAGGACAGAGAGTTTTAATGTTGACCTGAAACCCCTCTGAAAACCCTACAACACTGTTTCCTATACCATTTCTAGAGAGTATCAGCTCACCTGGGTTTTCTTAGGTGAGAAATAGGGGAATGTTCCAATGGGCTCCACAAAAATGTTGGTACTCTAATTTAAAAGAACAGCAGGCCCAGGGAACAAGTGAAATCAGGGAATATATTCTGTGCCATGGTCAAGAGTAAAGAACTTATGAAGATAAGCCAGTACCACTCCTCAATCTATCCCAACAAAAAATATGGAGACAGCCCAGCCGGGCGTGGCTCAGCGGTTGAGCCTCGACCTAGGATCTAGGAGATCTGGGTTCGATTACCGGTCAGGGCACATGCCCGGGTTGCGGGCTCGATCAATGACTCTCTCATCATTGATGTTTCTGTCTCTCTCTCTCTGCTCTCCTTTCCTCTCTCTGAAATCAATAAAGATATATTTTTTAAAAATAAAAAATAAATAAATGTGGAGACATAACAATGTGTGTGCTGCCCTGAGGACAGAGCTGTGGACAGGTGAGACTGCTCTTTCCCGCAGGAAAGTCCCATACAAGGGACATGAGCAGCAGCAGACGGCTGAACTAAAGGCATCACTCTGGAGGCCCTCGGAAGGAGGGAGGCTATAGCCAACTTGGTCCTCTCTGAGCAGAGCCCATGATTCCACCCTGCAGACATGTCCCTGGTCCTTCCTTTCTGATTACTCATTCTGATGGCAGGGAATTATGGCATGAATAATCCAAGTTGTGGATAATTGAAAAAAACATGTTATATTTGGCTTTGGAAGGCATCTTTTCCTGAAGTCTGAAAAAAACTTTAGCTCACTGAAACCTAAAACCTCGCCTTTCTCTAACTCCAGACATCCCCTAGCGGCCTCTCTGCTCACTCTCACTGCCCACAGCCATGACACTGTGAGCTCCCGGGGGCACAGGCCAGCCGCACAGGCATGCTACTAGGCGACCGGCGCTGAGCTGTGGGAATCTGGCTAAAAGAGAAGGGGAGGCACAGGTTCCAGGCAGCTGGCCTGAGCCTTGGGTATGCTACTGGAAAATATGATGTGCAGCATTCAGATTCATTGAATCATAGAGGAAGGAACTAGCCGTTCTTTTATAAGGTAAAATAACCTTGGTAACTTCAAAGATGTGGTAGAGAATGATGAGCCGTCCTCCTGAGCTCCTAAGTTTACTGAAAATTTGGTCACACAGGGAAAAGGTCCCCCTCAATTGTTTTGCTTCACTTTTTTCCTTTAGTTTTTTGTGCTTCCAGAGATCCTACTCTAAGTCTTTTGGGTGTAAAAGGGAAGAAACATTACCAAAAGTGTTCCTTTAACTGCTTCACGATACTCTTAACTGCTTCATAAACAGAATGCAAAAACTAAATGTGTTATAAATGTGCGTGGGAATACACACATGCACGTACATACAGTCGCCCCTCAGTACCCACAGGAGGTTGGTCACAGACCCCCTCGGATACCAAAATATGAGGGTGCTCAAGCCCCTTATGGAACGTGTAGAGTGTACACCCTCCTGTACACTTCAGCTCATCTCCAAGTTACTTATGACACCTAAGAGAGTCTGTCCACGTTCAGTACAGACCCCTGGAAGCCTAGCTATGTCGCAACAGCAGGACATTTTTCCCTCAATATCTCTATCAGTGGTTGGTTGAATCCACCAATGCAGAACCCGTGATATAGAGGGCTGACTGTATAAATATACATATATAAATACACATACATAGGTACACACATATTTGTATCTATCTGTCTGTCTATCTATGGAGATACAATAGCAACTGACAGGCAGTTAACCTCTGTGCTGACAATACAGAGGGAAAAAAAAAGAACAAACCCAGTCTCCATTAATGCTAACTCTATTATAGCTTCTAAGAAGATATAAACTAGCAAAGAACTTCAGGTTTCAAACCCAATTTTCACTACTAAAGCCACCACAGTGTACTAAACCCATGTAAGTGAAGACTGCTACTGTACTCTATTTACAGATACATAAAAAGTGTTTTGAACTCTGAGAAGTCCAAACCTGGAGAGCACCATATGGCTGTGTAACTATTAAAATCTTTTAATTATTAAAAAACAAAAACAGAACAATCATGCTGCCCAGAACTGTCATCCTAGACAAAGCCAGGGACTGTTTAAGTCACTGAGAAGGGAGCCCACTGCTTTAGTAAGCAAATCTCTTTGGTGGTGCCTCCTGAGCAACAGACACTCCTGGACCACTTGGCCTGACCTGCCTGCCTCTAGACAAGTCTGCCTGGAAGGAGCAGTGGAGGGAGGCTGGAGGCAGACCTCCTCTCCCTCCACATCTCTGTTAGGCAGAATTAGGAGGAGGAAGAGTCAGACACCAGAGGTGAGGAATCCAGAGGGGCGGGAGGCAAAACAAACAGGCAGGGGCACAAAAGCTGGGGGACACTCCCTGAACCAAGCATGGCCGCACAGGAGACATGCTCAGGAAACCCTGTTTAATGACCTCTCTACACTCAGGACTTGACCAACATGAGATCTAACTTCAAATGTGAACAAGAACCTGAAGTTCTCATTCACATAAAAAGAGCTCTGACCTAAAGTAACCTGGATTTGTATTCTCAATGAAAAAGGAAAAAATGCTTTAGAGCCTATTTCTTATTTTTAAAATGACCCATGATTGGTTTTAAACATGCACGACAGTTTGATGAAAGCACGCCCATCAGGAAAGAGTGGATCCTTTCCTCCTTTCAGAGGGTAACATAAAGTGGGTCAAGTCCATGGGAATGACCCTGGAGAGAGCTGCGCTACTCAGGCAGTTCTGGGGTGACTTAACGTGCACATCAGCAGTCCGTCAAACCACAACAAACTCAGAAACTTCTCCCAGAACAGCCATAATGCTGGAGTCAGGTTTCCTGAGAAGGGATCTATTTCCAGACACCTAAGCCTAACTACTCTTAAGTCAGTAGCCTGAAGCTCCAAGTTTATTAGGTTATGTACAAATACATATTTAGGGGACTCTTTGCCTTAAAGTTATTTCAACAGATACAAAAATCACCTTGGTAACTGACATTCTCCACTATCATGCTTTATTGTGGGGGTGAAGCAATATGCAGCATAGGGGTTCACACTAGGTTAAGCGGATAACTTCAGGACTCAACCGATGCTCCAGTGGAGGGAAGACTGATGTCTAAGTGTTTCCTGGCGCAGCACAGAGAACTCGAACCAAGAAAGGACTGCTTACAGGAACGAGGGCTCACAGCGAATCTAATGGGCAACATGAGTGGCTAGTGCTGCTAACTGGCAAGCAGGCAGGAGGGTGCTAGTGAGGCGCTGCCACCATCTACAGGAAGGCCCTGCTGCTCAACAGCACCCCCTACAGGATGGCTGCTCCCTGCCCCTATCCTTTGGAGGCCGGCTTCAAATTCAAGGGCAGCAGTGTCAAGAATCAAGAGAGCCCTGGCCAGTGTGGCTAAATTGGTTGGGTGTCATCTGTGCATCAAAAGGTTGCTGGTTCAACACCCGGTCTGGGCACATGCCCAGGTTGTGGGTTCAGTCCCTGGTTGGGGTGTGTACAGAAGGCAGCTGATCAATGATGTTTCTCTTCTCTCACATCGATATTTTTTCTCTCTCCCCTTTTCCCTTCCTCTCTGTCTAAAAATCAATCAAAACATATTTAAAAAAAAAANATGATGTTTCTCTTCTCTCACATCGATATTTTTTCTCTCTCCCCTTTTCCCTTCCTCTCTGTCTAAAAATCAATCAAAACATATTTTAAAAAAAAGAATCAAAAGAGAGGCCAGGGAAGTGTGGAAATGCTACTCCTGACCTATCCTGAAACTGTGCATGTTAAACTGCCAGATTTTCAAAACCAAGCAACTGCTTAGCTCAGCCGACACTGGAGTGTGGCAGTCTACCTGGATGCCTAAAGACAGGGCCCACATAACCATCAGACGCTTCCTCCTGGCCCTGGGAAAAGACGAGGCTTAAAGGCTGAGAAAGACGCCAAGCCACACTTGGCACCAGGTGGGATGGTGACTACATTAATTCTATTGTCACACCAAAGGAACTGACATGGGAAGGCCTGCTCCTAAGGACAACTCTTCATATGAAGAGCTGATAACTTTTAAAAGGGCTTCTATTTTTAGCTCCCAAACTTGATACCCAGTTGACATCGTGAAACCATTTGTCAGCTTTCCAAGAACCACCAATGGATGATAAATCAGTACATCTATTTTTATATCCTGTTTCCGCCCCACAAAGATTAGAAGCAGCTGATAAACGGAGATAAATTTGGGAGTGGGAAGGGAGGATGACAATGAATTGCAACTAGGCCTTAATTTAGAAGTCACAATGCTAGACATTAAAGATACTGGAAATATATAAGCCATTTGGTTCAGGGATATCTGTGACATTAAGAAGGTCTTATTCCTATTATTTCTACTTTCAGCTTTCTACTACAGTAACCCTTAAGCAACAACTCAACTATTGTAAAGGTCTGCACAGTAAGCATGTCTGAGACACTTACTAAACCATTCGGCTTATTCAAATCTCTGTGAAACTTACCCAACTCATCACTGTTATCAGGCATGAAACATTTCCTGGAAATATAATCAATACAAACCTTCCTCTCATATACCCAACACTTCCTATTTAAGTGTTTTTTCTAACTAATAAGTAACCCCACATCACATCCTAACACATAATCTGTCTCCAAAACTGATTCATAAATGGCAGCTAGACCAAGCATTTGAAATTAAAAAAAGCAAAGCTTTAGGCATGACTCACTTGCTGTAAAGAAGAATCCTGTGAGAAACCCGTTTCTTTAAAGTCAATTTCATCATCACTGGATGAATGAATATGGCAGGTTGTAACCTATATGTATAGAAATGTAAAAGACTATTTAACAGAGAAAAGTTTTGGACATTTGCATCATCATTTTTATGGAAAAATCACAACAAGCAAGAACAAAACTAAGTAACAGTTAAGTTGTAAAACCCACCCGATATTCAAGGGTGCACTTCACTCAACCAGACGGTTTGGCTTCCTGCCCTCTGCCGCCCACTTGTGGTGATTTCACTCATTGCTAGCATCACCAGAAAACAGGTAAGAGATGAGTTACTCCCTTCAAGTGATTTTATCTCCTATAAAATGTTTACAAAGGGAAGGCACAGAAGGAATGGCTCAGATGAAATGTGAAAATAATTTATAGGTGCCAAGCCTGAAATCTAAAACTGCAATTCCCAGGGATTACCAATGAGCCACTAAAAGGGCAGGTTTAAATATAAGGATTTTACTTTAAATTCTTGCATTTCCTGACCACTCTAAGAAAAGCATTGTCCATAAGCACTAAGTATCACTTGAGTCAACAGTTCCCTGCTTATAAAAAGACCCCAAATCTTCTTTCCCTTAAAATGTACCCCTCTGCCCTTAGAACTTATAACCAATTCATTAATTAAGCAAAAAGGCAAATATGAACTGCTCACCAATTCACGGTGATTTTTATTAATTCACAAATGTCACATAATATTAGGGGGAAATGTATTAACAATTAGAATGAAGATATACAAACAACTGACTACAGCACTAACAGCAATCATTGCTATATAGCAAGTAATAAACATGAACAGTCTGTACAGCCTGGAAACCAGCACGGAACTTCTGAGGGTCACTTACACAGCATTTTCTGAGTTATTCTTCCTGTACTTTCTGTAGAAGTGTTTTGGGCAGAGACCACTGTCATCAGGGGAGGACACAAGAGGCCATTACCTACCAGCCCTTGAAGCTGCACCGAAGAGCGTGGAGTTACAGAAACTGGCTGATCTGCTTTGCGAGGTTCCAACACTGGTTCAAGCCCAAAGTAGAATCTAAATAGATCTATATGTGGCATGGCTTGTGAAATCCTGAGAAAATCAGCCTGAACAAAATTAATCTTTCCCTATGGCTGACCATCTTTGGTAAAGACACTAAGCCCAAGTGAATAGCCCAGTGTTTCTAGTTCATTCCCTCTCCATCCCCCCTAAGATCTAGAGAACGCACTCACACCCTAATTTTGAATCTGGTCTGATGAAACCAGAGGCAGAATCTGTGATCAATGAAGGAAACCTGCTTACGTTGATCGTGGCTGTAGCGAGTTAACGGGGAAAGATGTGAGGAGAATGGGATGTGCCAGGAGCGCCTAGCGAGATGCAGAGGAGGTGGCAGAATACTGCTTGGTCACAGTAGCTGGCATTTTCCAGGGCCACTGCTATCAAGAGTGGGTCAAGTGGTTCCACTGCAGTGGATTTACAGGAGCTTTGGGCTACTTGGCAGGCAGGCCAGTGCCACAGTCATATTAAGCCAGTGTGTGTTTAGGGGTGAAACCCCATGGTGGGGTGCAGAATTAAAGACAATTAACAGAGCAAGTGAGGTGATCTCAACAAGAGAACAAAAAAGAGATGGCTACTCCTGGAATGTCTTGCTAAGTTTAAATAGAATACAATGTATCCTCACTCATACTTTTACCTTTTGGTATAAAATAAGATATTTAGCTCATTAATTGAACATAAGAATTGCTTTTGCTGAGCAATTACTATGTGCCAGACATCAAAAAAATTCTGGGTGGGATCTAAAATAATTTTTTTTTCTCCAAAAAGAAACTACTGTTTTAAGAAGTTACTATTAATAATTGCAAAATGCATGTATAACTTTGCAATTATGTTATTGAAAAATGTGAGGCTTCTGACTTATTGCTCTGAGATAAAAAGACAATTTAATTTATCCAAAGAGGAAAACTTGCTAATTGGAATCAGAGTAGTTCCATCATACAGATGCATCCACCATGAGTCCCTGATCTAAGCTTCTAGACATATCCTTCTGAGGCACCTCCATTCTCCTCACTCAGCTAAAATTCCTGTCATCTTGCTTTTTTCTGTCTCATGCACATCTATCCGTTCTGCTGTCAAAATATAACCTAGCTCTGGCCTGGTGGGCTGAGTTGACTGGAGCATCGTTTCATACACCAAAAGGTGGTGGTTTCGATTCCCAGTAAGGGCACATACCTGAGTTGTGGGTTCAATTCCCCATCAGGGCCCATACAAGAGGTACCCACTAATGTTTGTCTCCACCCTTCCCTTTCTCTTTCTCTCTCTCTCTCTAAAAATAAATATAAAATATATGCTAGGGTGATGATTAAAATATATACATATATATAATAAAAATCCTAGAATCCCACTTCTCATTAAATCTTTTTAAATTAAATTGGGGGTGACACTAGTTAATAAGATCACATAGGTCTCAAGTGTACATTTCTATGATACATGATCTGTATACTGCACTGTGTGCCCACCACCCAAAGTCAATCATCAAATCTTGAGCCTGGCCGGGTGTGGCTCAGTGGCTGAGCATCAACCTAGGATACAGGTGATCAGGGTTTGATTCCCAGTCAGGGTACATGCCCGGGTTGCAGGCTCAATACCCAGTCAGGGGCATGCAGGAGGCAGCCGATCAATGACTCTCTCGTCATTGATGTTTCTGTCTCTCTCTCTCCCTCTCCTTTCCTCTCTCTGAAATCAATAGATATATATATATTTTTTAAATAAATTAAAAAAAAAAATAAAAAATCAAATCTTTATAACCTCCCTAGTGCAGGTCCCCATTACCTACAGTCTGGATAATGCTATATCAAGCAGCTAACTAGTTTCCCTGCCTGCCCACTATAGTCTAGTCTCAATCCAGTAGCCATAATAATCTTTCTAAATGTTCATTACTTTTTAGTTCCTAACCTAACGTCTCTTCATCAAACTAAGATCGCAACCCAAGGGGCTTCCATGGACTAAAAGCTGTAGGAGATTTGGCCTGCAGAGCCTCTCAGACCTCACGGCCTGTTCTCTCCCTCACTTACTTGGGGACAACGTGGCAGCCTCTGCACACACGTGGAACACCCCAATCTCAGGCCTCTGCACTCACCCTTCCTCCCTCACTGTCATCAAGGCTCTACAAACATTACCTTCTCAATGAAGTTTTCCTAGACTACCTCATTTTAAATTGCACATCTGCCCCAAAACACTCTGGGACCCCCTCCCTGGGAGTTTATCCACCCATTTGTTCTTCCATCTCCATGGAGGCAAGGATTTTTGCTAACCTTGTTTAGTACAACAGCCTCAGTGTCTGGTACATAGCAGCCATTCAAGTATTTATTGAATTAATGAATACTAGTAAACTACTAAATGAGAAACACAATCACAACTTTTAAAGAAGTAACAAGTATAAAAGCTTTTGAAATGTTACTGTCTCTCATAAAAAAATCTTTAGTTTTACTAACTGCTATTACAGGAAAAAACAAGTAAGTGTTTCTTTATCTTTGCTGATTAGGCTAAGGAAAATCACAAGTATGACTTGAGTGCTAACCTCTGACCTAGGGCTGGTTAGAAACACCAACTCTCAGAGGTTATGTGTGCACAACTGTGATACTGCACACAAACAACCTCTAAAAACTGTCTTATCAGTGCTGGGAAAGAAGCACCAAGGCTTTCCATTCTCCCCCTTGGGGAGAAAGGCACAGAATGAAACTCAATTTTTCTAAGTTAGCACAAAAACATTTCCTATGTTATCTAAATTTAGTCTATCTGAACCCTTACCAATTTCTACAGTTTGGGGGCTTAGTCAAAACAGAGAGGTCTCTGGATGTAATTAAAACACCAAATTTCATTCATAATAAACTCTCAACATAAAAGCTAAGCAATCTGTTAGTCTGTTGTGTGTGTACTTTGGCATGATGGGGTCGAAAGATTCAAGTACTCCAGAGCTCTCAGAGGGTGGTAACGAAATTGCTGCCATAGAGGTGACAGGAGTGTGGGGCTGGCACAGCCTATCCCACATAGCCCAGCAAGTTCTCAGGCCCACAGCCAGTAGGACACACAGGTAAATGTTTGGTGCACAAGTGAACAAATCCTTGCTGAGACTAGAAAAGTTAAGAACAGGCCAGGGCAACACAACAATGCAACAACTGAAGCACCTGGTGCTTGAGCCACAAGTGGACTCAACTCCTGGGAACATACCCGAAATGATTCCCAGAGAGGTACCTGAGCCATCCTAAGCAAGGAAACCACGGCCGGGTGTCTAATCTCACTTGTGTATTTGGGGAACGGCCGGGAGTAAGCCATGTATTACCTCTCAGAGGACTTAAGCAGTAATGCGTCTGAGACAAGGTGAAGGAAACGCCTTCACCTGCACCTTGCACAGCATCACCCGCGTACACGCTCTTTCTGCGGGACGTCTTTTCCAGGGCAAGACCCACTGCGTTACCAAGTCATGTTTATAATAATATTCACAACAGCGTATCTCCCTTGGAACATGGCACCCAACCCCACTGGAAAATGACCTGAAACATTCTGGAGGAAATATGAAGAGCTTAGAGGCTGCACTTAAAGTCTCCCTGGTGGCCTAGGATAACTGTAAAAGCATCTTTTAAAACCTGGAACATCTGTATCCCTAAATATCCTATCGGAAGGACTTATGACTAAATGGAGGTGTTATTTTAGTATTGGGTATTTGGGACCAAGGAATTGAAGAGGCCCTGAGAGAGCAACCTCAAAGTCTCAACAGAAAGCAAAGTGGCAGAGTGGGGTTAACTCAACCAGGATATGACCATGTGAACAGGGCTCTAAGTGTGACCATTTTGCTATAGAAGTCACTGCTCCTTATTTCATTTTACTGTAGATTATTTGTGTAGTCCAAGTATGGTGGCAAAAAGTGCAACAGGCAACAGAGAACTGAACTACAATGAGAGCGGCAGGTGGAGCCCATGGGGGTTTTTCCCTCAGCACAGGCGTCATGTCTCACTGTGACTGACCCCAAAAGGCTGCACATCAGTTTGCAGGGCATGCGTGTGGATATGCATGGCAACATTTACAGCTACACACCATGCAAAGTAGCTGAGTGCTACCTGAACTGCAATGAAGTCCTTTATTCAGAACTGCTCACAAGAGAAACGTGCCTGAATTACCAAAAACAAGGAAGTTTTAAAAAAATTCCTTATAACAAGTTTAACTGGACATTTTTTACTTCCACCTATTAATTCTATCAAAGGATAATCTTAAAAGAAGTTTCCCAAGCAAAATGAGAATATCCCTAAATATTATTCCTAAATATTCCTTTATAAATAGAAGACAAAAGTTCCCTGAAAGGAGATGACCTTGCCTGCAAGGAGTCAACACGGGGAACTTGGATAAAGTGAAACGGTTCCATTCAACAGGGTGAGACAATTTCACCCAACAGCAAAACCCTGACTGTCCGAATGGCAACCGATTTGGTGTTTGTTTGTGGGTGTGTTTTTTTTGGGGGGGGGCAGGCAATCTATAGTGGGTACTACATTCATTAACAATTACTTCACCCTTCCTTGATGACTCAGGGCTGTCACAGTGAACGTGTTTCTCTGTTGGGCTACAATACACTCAGACACTAAGGACCATAAAACCTATTTTAACTAAATGGCCCCACACAGCTTCCTTTTTAGGGTTATCTCTTAACTTCATAATTCCTCTAATTCCTAATACCTACTGGTTCTATCATATATCCACCTTAACAAGACATTAGCCCACAAATCTGTCAAGGGTCTGGAAAAATCTGTGAGACAATCTACAACGCTGGAGGCAATGGGCCCTTTGGGGTGTGACTTGGGAGGACCTAGTGACCGTCTATAAGCTGCCTCAGCCTTTCTATTTCCCTCCTGTTTCTAAATTCCATTTAGAACAGATAAGACTGACAGATACTTGACTGCCTAACAATCGAGGAGTTACTGTTTACTAGAGATTCAGACTGCAGCCGCTGGATTTCAAATATAGAATCCAATGCCTGACACACCCACTTCCACGAGGAAACAAGGCCACCTCCTCAATTATTGGCTGCTGTGTGCTTATGAAAGGAAATGCTTTCCCACATCTTTAAAAGCAAAGGCAATACTCACCTTAAAACTTAATGTGTTTAAAAATGCATTCCAAAGTCCAATATAATTAGAAAAAAAACTTTATCAATGCCATTATTCCCGGGCTAAAAGTATCAATCTGTTAAGGCTTTAAGCTGGGGTTTCAAAGGCCTACAAAATTTCCACCACTGAGAATGATGTAAAACAAGGGTCAACTTAACTCAATAACATTAGAAAACACTTAGAGGAATATTTAGGTTTTCTGACCACCCAGGGTTACCTTTACCTGAGGCAGAAGGCAACAAACCGGACGGAGTGACAGCACACTAGAGGCTGTGTGGTTGAGGCGCTTAGGGAGCAGAGCACTAAGGGAAATGGAAACCAAATCTGGTGTGACGGAGTAGCAGTGGCTTCTTTGTGCCCCTCTGTCGTCCCAGGCAGGAACTAGGAGCTGACTAGGCAAATTAGCAAAAATAATGTGAACATGACCTGTCTTCTTGGTAAAGAAACAAACTCATCCTTGATGCACTATTACTGGGACAAACAGAAGATCTTTCACGATGTTCTGAATAAACGGGCAAAGTCTAAGTGCCCTGAAAACACAGAAATGTAACCTTGTGGAACCTACTAGATCTACCGTGTTCCTCTTGTTAGTTTCTCCTAAGGAGCTTGTGCAGAAAGTCTCCCATCGCTCCCTGACGTCGTCGGCAAGATCTTGAGGGAAAGGAGGAGAAAAACATCATCACCACCATGGCCCGCACAGGCAAATAAAACCACCATGTAACACAGGAGGCCCACCACGCAGTTCACAAAGGGGAACTCAGGAACCTGAGGGCTTTCAGGAACCATAACCCCCCATCCTCCAAAAGTCTACGCCTGATGTCAAGAGCCCGCAGCAGCTGTGAATATATTAAGTTTTTTAAATCATTTGGTTAAAAACTTAAACTGAAAAATGTGAGTGTTTCCAATAAACTCTTCTGAGAAAGGCAACAGGTCTTTAAGGCGGGGACAGACACACGCCATCTTTTCCCACCGTCATGCAAGTTTAGGAAATGCCACAATGTCAGCTCCTGCACACTTTCTTAAGATACTCTGATTGACATCTGGCCAAAGAATGTCCCGTGGAACCCAGTTTGGCTTTTCAAATTGATCAAAAATAATGTTTCCTAAATGTCTGTGCCATATGCCAACATGGATATAGATGCAATAGAGAAATTGCACATACTGAGAGTTTTTAAAGAAAAGGGCACACGACCATTTTCTCAGCTTCCTGAGAAAATGAAACCACAGCTGTAATTGCGGATGCCTACCGAACTACAGCTGTCACCTGACAGTTCTGGTTTAAACACACACCTGCGTGCATGCTCACACCGCTGCCGAGCAACTGCCATTCAACAGGCGGATCTAAAACACCCTCTCTCTCTCACCACACACACGGCCTCTCCTCCTTGGTAAGAACATAAAGATAAACTCTGACGACCTGGCTCATACTCTCTCGAGAAGCAAAATTCGTGGGCAAGCCCCAGTTTTCCCATCACTGGGGAACAACTATTCTTTGAATGTACATTCAATAGATAGCAGCCTCTTGAACATGGAACCATTCTTAAAAGATAAAAAAGAACAGGCTAGAAAGTGATTTTCTTCAAGTTATTTCTGAATGAACTCTGTGCTGCCAAGAGTCAGTCCCGGGACTAGGGATTCTGTTGGGACACAGAGCTCTCTCATTTAAGAGGCAACAGACCCGTGGCCTGGGTGCCAATGTAAAAGCACCCACACACTTTCTTCCAATAACCTTAGGCTGATTAAATTTCAATGCTATTACAGAAAGAGTCCTTGTGTAGCAATGGAGATATGGACAAATGCTGAAAAATGCTTTAATACCCCTGTAAAGGGGCTCCATCCACAGGCTACGCAAGGGTCTTCAGAAGGAAAAAGAAAGATGAAGGAACTATAGCTCAGGGAGTGGGTCCCGAGCAGTGCTCTCTGAGGATGAAGTGGGGGACTCCAGAGCTGAACTGGGCCAAGCCTGCAACACTTACTGAAAGGACCACAGGATGAAGAACAGCAAAGAGCTACACTGTTCAGAACATTCTCAAGAACCTCATCAAGTCTCTAGATAAGTATTAAAGAAACCCCACAGGGAACTATTAAAAGTGATAGAATAGTTTCACTTTATCCTTAAATGCTTCTCTGGCCTGACAAGAATGCACCGAGAACTCCAAGAGTCACTCACCTTGGATCAGCTGCTGCACCAGCGCGCTATTGGGGCCCTTGTCGGTGCTGTGCACGATGCAGTTGGCTATCCTCGTCAGGTGCCCCATGTAGCCGTGCCGCCGGCCTCCCTCGGCCCTGCCGGGGAAGCACACACACTCAGATTCCCGACCGACGGGGGGAGGAAGCGGCTGAGTAAATACCGGGATTTAAGCAATCCTCCTAAAACCCGAGGCACCAAAGAGGAGAAAGGGCAGAAAAGCAGGTGCCAGAATATTACCAGGCTTGGGGGTGGGGGGTTGGGCGGCAGAAACTGTCTACTCAAAGATTATACTGTAGCCTCACTCAGTGGGACAAGGTTTATTCAAATATACCAACAAACAAACCATTCATTCTCAATAACATATTATGTTTAAAAACAACAAAACCCAAGCATTCATTGATGCCTCATGTTTCTGTGACTTTCCCTTTTATCTTTTTTTGTGCAACTATTTTTCAGACTTTAAACAGATTGCAGGAAACTGAGGTAAGTATTCTGCTGGTTCATTTTGTAAAAGGACATCAAATTTTAATCAATTAACAGAGATAATCATCTACCAATGGCATTTTTCAAGTTAAAATATTGGCTGCTTTGAGGACTTGGCCAAGAGAGGTAGTCAATTCGTCCCTGGTCCGTCTACCACTTGGAACACTGGCAAATTATCCCCCACCCCTTTCCCCACCTGGGGTCTAACCTTCCCAACTATATCCATTTTTCCATTTAGACAAACGCCTGCTACAGACGCTACCACTGGGAAAAAATAAGTCTGTGTAACAAGCTACTTACACGTATCAGCTAATGCTTCAAGTAATCTTGCCAATTTTTGGACAAGAAAGAAGGCAACTTCCCCCTCTAGTTCCCTGAAGTGACTCTGCACAGTGAGAAACCAGGCCAGGGTAAGCGGACCCCTGGTTAAACCATCACTGAGAAGGACTGGATTTTGTAACTCTTCCTTCAACTCCACATTATTCTCAGAAAAACGGCCATTCAAAAAGGACCAGGAAGCCTCAAAAGTAGCCCAGAGGTGGGGAGTACTCCCAACCCCTGGTTTCCCCTCCAGAGGCAGAAAGACAGAGCAATCAGAAAAGAAATTATTAGAGAAAAACCTGTTACAGTGAAGTAACCTGGGGGCCCTGAGAAAAACATCTGTAACTACAAAGTGGCACACACCACGTAACCACTTCCACGGCTCTCTGTCCAGGGCATGGGGGGGATTTCTTCATATGAAAAAAACTGAGTTCCTATTGGAAAACAATTATTCACTTACTGTTTCTTCTCATTCATTTCCCAGGCGTCAAGGATTCGTTCTATTAACTGACATTTCTGAAAAAGCTGAATGAAAAGGAATATTCCAGTTAACATTTATATAAATGTCAAAGTGTCAAAATTTTGAAGTGAGATAGAACTAATAAAACAGAACAATGACATGTATAACCAGCCAGCTAAATAGAGCTGTGACTTGTTGGCTGAGTCAAATGCAGTGAATAATGAATTTACCCAAGGCTCCCAGACACTACAGGGGCTCCAGACAGGACCCACGCCTTCAGCTGTGCATCTACTGGGAAAGGACAGTATTTCAAGTACTGCTACGAATGAGCTGCTGACCAAAAGCAAAGTCAGGCTTATTAGCCATGGAAATTGGGCCCAGAGATACACAGCCTGACCCAAATGCAAATGGAACAAAAAAACCCATGCCTGGCAAAGACTTAACTCGGAGATACTTCTACTTTCTTTTTTTAATCTTCACCCGAGGATATTGTTTTTATTGATTTTAGAGAACAGGAGAGGGAGAGAGAAACATCGATGTGAGAAACACTGATCCGTTTCCTCCCATATGTACCCCAACCAGGGATCGAACTCACAACCTAGGTATGTGCCCTGACCAGGAATCGAACCCACAACCCGCCAGGGCATGGGATGATGCTCTAATCAACTAAGCTGCATGGGCCAGAGAAATATACTTGTACTAAAAAAAAAAGTACTTTATTGATTTCAGACAGAGGAAAGGAGAGGGGGAGAGAGAGGTAGAAACATCAACGATGAGAGAGTCATTGATCGAGCCCACAACCTGGGCATGCGCCCTGACCGGGAATCGAACCCTGATCGTCTGGATCCTAGGTTGACGCTTAACCGCTGAGCCACGCCCAGCCGGGCTATACTTGTACTTTTTAAATGTGAGCAATTACAATTCATTTCACACTTAACTGGAAAAGCTATGACCAGGAGTAAAGAAAAAAGACATCAAGTAAGCTTACGTGTTTCAATAACAAATTGTCACCAGTGGAGTCTTGATCAGTAATTGTGCTGTTTTCTGTGTTCTCAAAGGGACTCGCAAGAATCAGTGCAATGCAGATTTCCACTTGTGTATGTAAGAAGTTATTCCACGTATATTTGAAGAACATGTCCTACCAAAGAGAAAAACAATGCTTTCTTTTATTCTGTTACCTCAATGTTTAAGCTACTACTTTAAAACACTGACCAAATAGTGACTTAATAAAGTAAAAATGATGTGTTCTTAGTCCAGCAGGACTAATTAAAAGGAATACAAGTTTACTTTAAAGGAGGTTTGATGCACCACTTCATAGGCTAACTCACAGAATATCTGCTCATGCGAGACGCCAGAGTTTTCATGAAATCATGAAGACGGCAGCAATAAACTGATGAAGGAAAGGTAAGTGTCTCAAATAGAAAGGGAGAAAGAACCCTTTTATGTTTTCAAAACAACTAATGCTGACATTAAGTTCAGTAAATAATTTTTAAAGAATTTTATTATAATTTCCTTTTGATTCAACAAATATTTACTGAAGTCTTTCTGTGCAGGTGCTAGGTGCAACATGGCAGAGAGAAACACAAGGGCCCCACCCTCGAGGTGCTCACACCTTAACAAAGAGTAACCACTTGGGCATAGGAAACTCAGACCTATCTGTGAATGGAGTAAAACAAGGGTTTTCTGGATTACCTGAAAAGGTAGCATACCACAAAAAGGGAAGGACAATCCCTAAAAGCACAAAACACACAGTTCAAGTATGTATTTAGCATATCATTGAGACTGGTTAGTTCATCTTAAATGAAAAAGTAATAATGATCCATTTAAGAGTTTTATCAAAATTATCACTCAAAAGTAGTTCTAAAGATTAACAACAGAAAGATTAAACTAGTAAGATTAAAGAGTAGTAACTGATGACTTCAGGGAGACTCAGAAGCAGGAGTAGAAAGGTATACTCCTGGAGTTTTACATTCTGGTCCGAGGGTAGGGCAAATGCAATGTCTCCCGGGGCAACAATTATGCCACCAGACTGTTTCACACCTCACTTTCCCCCAGCACAGTTCTGCTCTCTATACCCTACACTGACATGCCGTTGAACTCAAAGCTGAAGTTTACAAAGCAGCTCCGTGATGCCAGCAAGCATGTGGTATGGCTGAGAAGCATGCATGGGTTTGCAAGTGGATGTGAATTCAAACCTGGCTCCACCACTGATAGCATGGAGTGCAGCTCCTTTCTGAACATGATCTAAAAGAAGGACTCTCCCTCACGGGATTTAATGCTCAGGATCCCATGAGCACAAAGTGCACATTCCAGGGCCTTTCATGAAGTAGGCAAACCCCTACACCCCTTCCTGTGAAACACCCCTAACCCCCAAATGGACAGTGTGATGGTACCTGTGAAACCTGCTAAGTGTTGAACTCATGCCTTCTGGGTGGTGTGGGCAGGTCAGACAAAGCAGGCACGGGCCTAGGGCACCAGAGCAGGGCCTACAGACTCTAAGCGCAAACTCTGAAATGGGAGCAGCTCGGTCCTGGGGTCTTCCTTTTCCCTTCCACTGACAAGCAGGCTAAGAGCTGTTTCAAGGAACAATCTGGAGTCAAGGCTAAAGGCTGCACGGGGTCTCGGACGCATTACACAGACGCGCACAGACTGATGCCTGCCCCTGCCCACTGGGGGATGCTGTCACCAGCAGTACTCTACCGCACAGCCTCCTACATCCGTGCGACACTGAACCTGGAAAGTCTGTCATCATCACCAAAAGTTTCTAGTACAGTTTTCTCTACTCTCAGCAACAGTAACTAACTACTGACAAATTCAAAGCTTCAAACTGGATTAACTCAAGGCAAAAACTATAAAAAAGACCTTCACACACAAACCAAGAGAAGTCAGACACATATCACAAATCTGTGCGGCTGCACCTGAGTCACAGCCATGAAAAACAACGGGCGAACGAACAGGCCGACCTGTCCAGGGTGCCTTACCAGTATGACCCCGATGCTGTTCAGCTCCATGAGGTCCCCGTTGATGGTGCTGGTGTTCGTCTGGAGCAGGCTGGATACCAACCGAATCACGTTCAGCCGGGTGTTCCCGACGGGCGGGTCCAGCACACCCCACGTCGTCTTCATCACGCTCTTCTGAGGAAGAAAAAGCCTCTGATCAAAAGGCTTCCCAGTGAACCCATTTGGCAAACACAGAGGGGGCAGGGCACACACTAAGGTGCAGCACCAGGCACGCTAACCCTGCAAACAGTTTGGCATGAGTTCTACATCTGAAGAAAAGCTGATATTCAGGATCTAACGAAATAACCAAGACAAAACAACAATCAAGTAACGTCCCCAGACTAATTCTGTAAGAAAGAAGTGCCCTGGCTTCAACTCTCTAAATGCCATGGAAAGCAGAAAGCTGCAGGGGTCCACAAAAAACAGTGCAGGATGCCAAACCTGACCGGAAACCAGGTGGTTACAAGTGGTCTTAGAACACAACCCTCCACCTTTGCCGGGTCTGAGCAAACTCAGGAGCTGCCTCTGGACCATAACCAACCTCAAACCTGCTCTTGTCTGTAAAAGGGACTACCTGCCATGTGAAATCACAACAGATACAGAACTTTCAGAATTTCAGTTCAGAATGACAAGTTGTCTCCTGGTAGTGCGGTCACCCTTTCTCAGTGTCCCCATCCCTGTCAGCACGCTCACCCCTTCCTGCTCCCCCAGGGGCTTCATGGAATTGTGAGGCTCACAGTTTTACTCCATGTACAACAGTTCTAATTACCAGACATTTTAAAAAGCTTCATGGATCTACTCACACACCACACCAGATAGTAAAATCAGGACACAGTGAGCACACTCATTCCTCCAGACGAGACACTGTCTTACTTTGGAGTGGGACCAAGAATACAAGAGCACACCCTGGCCGGTTGGGCTCAGGGTTAGAGCATCAGCCCATGGACTGAAGGGTGCAGGTACACGCCAAGGGCACGTACTTCGGTTGCAGGCTTGATCCCTGGCTACAGTCGAGGCACGGGCAGGAGGCAACCCATCGATGTGTCTCTCTCACAGTGATGTTTCTCTCCCTCTCTCCCACTCTCTTCGTAAGCAATGGAAAAAATATCCTTAGGTGAGGATTTAAAAAATAAATTTTAAAATAAAAAAGAATGTAAGAGTGAGACTCCACACTGGATGCCACCCTCGCTGTCCCTCTGGAAGGAGCATGGGAGGCCATCAAAGTCACAGACCAGGGGCCCTTCATCACACACCCTCTTCTCTCATTCTTCTCCTTCCTCAACTCCCACTGGGGATGCTCCCTCCTCTCCTAAGTAAACCCTTCCTCCTCCTCCCCTGCTCTCCCCTCTTCTGCCCAGGTCTGGCATGAGGGACGTCACTGACTGTAACTGTTCAAAACCAACACGGGCACTTTTCTTGAGGGAATGCCAGACACTCTGGCCAAATGCAGGGAAGACAACAGGACCACGCTTGCTCACTGTAGCATCAGCCATCTGAAGAGACCACCCGGAAGCTGAACTACACTCCCTGGGTAATGGACATAAATTATTCTGGGCTCCCACTCCACAACATGGCTAAGTAAACAGAAAACACTTCATTAGAAGGGAGAAACTAGCATATTGAACTTAAATTCCCAGTAACTCAAACAGTAGACACCACAGAGGTTTGTACTACAATGGCTAAAACACTGGATCCAGTGACAGAGGGCAGAAGGAAAAGGAACCCGCAAGAGCAGGTGCTGGCAGAACTCTCCGGAACTGAGCCTTCCACCCTAGAGATGCCCTAATCTAAGCCCGTGCACTACTATGCAGGCCCAGAATGGAGCGGAAAAACCACTGGGGACCGTGGACACCGCTTTGCAGGTCTTCACTGTCTGTCCTCTGTGCTCTCATGGCCTGCCCAAGTAAACAGTCGTTTTTACAACACTACACACATGCCCCATGCATAAAACCTTGGGCTCCAAGTCACATTCAACCCGCTGCTTTTTTTTAAAAATGTGTTTTTATTGATTTCAGAGCATGAGGGAGAGGGAGTGAGATAGAAACATCAATGATGAAAGAGTCATTGATTGGCTGCCTCCTGCACACCCCCTACTGGCGACTGAACCCACAACCTGGATATGTGCCCTGACCAGGAATCGAACCGTGACCTCCTGGTTCATAGGTCAATGCTCAACCACAGAGCCATGACAGCTGGGCCTGCCTGCTTCTGTAAGCGTCTGTCCACCAGATCCTCCACCGCTCCAACTCTGAATACGACAACTCCATTTCCAAGATCAGTGCCTAAAAGGCTGGCTTTATTTCAAAGATGGGAAAATAACATGCTATGGGAAGAAAAGGGTTTATTTTACGGGCATATAAGCAACCAGAATTTATAAAAAGAATATAAGCTGAGTTTCCTAAGCAGGTAAAAATTTAATTATACACCATTCGTTAATTTAGACACTATAATATAGGTAAAAACCAATTAGAAACTAGCTCAAAAGCAATAAAAGCAACTGGCAGTGTACCTTATAACACGTTTTGTACATGCTGGTCACAGCCAGTGTACATGCTGGTCACAAGGTTCCTAACAACTGTTCACATCAAACTGTTGAGCTGACCAGCCATGCTTAAGATAGCTGCCCTACCTTGGGTGGCTCAAGCAGGAGTTCATGAAAAGATCCAAGTCTTCCTCGGATGGCTTCTAGAACACTCTTGTTGACCGAACAAGCTGAATGACTCATGCCTGGTGGGCAGATCTCTATATGGCCTTCAAATCTTGAAATAAAGCAAGTTAATTATACTTATTACAATTTCAGAACAAATCACAGTGCTCCTATCAGCAGGTAGATATATACACAACAGCTATGTAAATTTATAATGATTATATCAACATTACTGGAGGGACAGAAAGCATATGGAATAAAAATTTGACAGGGATCAGACAACACGACCTGAAACCCAGAAGCCCCCAGAGTCAGGTGGGAAATTGTATGTGAATTTCTTCCCATTCACTTGAACCATCTATCCCCTTGTACTTGTTACACTACTAGCAGCTCTCTAACCAGAAAATCTGGACAGCAGGAGCTCTGACCGTAAATTACAGGGCATACCACACTGCCTGCCATTTGGGATATTAATAACAGGCCTGCATTTATTCCCGTTTTTCTTGGGTAATCAACATTGTTTCCTATTTATTTATTTATATATTTTAAAATATATCTTTATTGATTTCAGAGAGAGGAAAGGAGAGGGAGAGAGATAGAAACATCAATGATGAGTCATTGATCAAGCCTGCAACCGGGCATGTGCCCTGACCGGGAATCGAACCCCAATTGCATGGATCCCAGGTCGACGCTCAACTGCTGAGCCACGCCCGGCCGGGCCATTGTTTCCTATTTAAAAGACTTACTTTATTCTTCTCCCTAAAGCTCAATCTATACTTATTATAACCTACTCCTACAGGAAAAATTACAAGCGGAATGAAACCCCCAAATCCCAATGGGCAGGGCAGGGCAGGGCCCCAGAGGGGAGGAAGGCCACAGAAAGGAGGGGCCTGGAACTGTGGACGCTGTTCAAATGAGAAATTAGCCCTGGAAGTGGTGTGTCAACTGAACATCAGTGCAAACCAGTAGTTAACAACGTCGCTGCTGGAGCAGGATGCCTATGCCCAAGTCCTGGCTCCTCCCTTCCCAGTTATTTGTTCTAATGTGGAAAGTGGGTTCACTCAGCAATGTCTCTCCCAGGACTGCAGTGAGGATCAAGCTAATGTAGACACAGAGCTGAACACTGCCTGGCACACTGCTAACTTCTAGAGTAATTATTATGACGATTACTTGAGAACATTCCACATGTGGAAGTGATTTCTAATTGCAAAAGCTGCACAGAACAGCATTCAGAAACTCAATTACTGGAGAGAGGAAGGGGAAAACAGTACAGTGCTCTTGGATGTGTAAGGGGCTTTAATAATTTATGTGGCCAAATATAGCTTTTCTCATTATAGTTTCTGTCTAAAGAGTCATGCTTAAAAGTTCTTCACAATTCCATAATTCTTTTGAGTGTTTGCATACTTTTCCTTTGGTATTTTAAATTTAATTAATCTGGAATGTATTTTTATGTAAAAAAGGTGTCGACATATTCTTTTCCAAGTGGTGAGTTACTTCCTAGGCGATACTTATAATCACCTGTCTTGCTTAAGTGAAAAAATATACAAAACCATAAACAAAAGTGCCTTAATCATGCATATAAACTTTGGTGTCACAAATACTAGCATCATGCTGCCCTATTTATTGTATCAATGATGCATCATCATATGCAGGAGGCAGCTTATCTCCATCACTGGTCTTGTTCAAAATTCCTTGGCTAGTCTCACAACTTTATTCTTTCAAACATATGTAAGAATTCATCAATCAAAACAAAACCACGCTGACATTCCAAGTAGAGCTTTACTAAATTCAGAACTTAGACTTGGAAAGGCACAACTGACAGCTGTCCACGTGCTGGCAGTCCGTTCATTCCCTTTACTGCTCAATAGCTATTGTATGGGCTTACATGGCCCTTGTCTTTCACCAGCTGAAGGACACTCTGCTTGTTTACAGTCTGGGTGATTATAAATAAAGGTAACAAATATTCACTTACAAGTCTTTGTGTGACACAGTTATCATTGCTGAATAATATAAGAAATGCCTGTTTAACTTGATAAGAAACTGCCAAATGTTTTTAGAAAATGGCTGTGTGACTTTGCATTCTATTCCCAACAAAGGGTGAGCCTTCCAGTTGCTCCCCAACATCACCAGCACTGGGTACTGTCTATCATTTTTGTTTGGTTTAGTCATGCAATAGGCTGAATTGTGGCCCCCAAAAGATATTTCCACATCCTGATCCCCAGAGCCTGTGAATGTTACCTTATTTGAAGATATAGTTAACCAAGGATCTTAAGATGAGAGTATCCTGGGTTATCCAGGTGTATCTTAAATGTCACCACAAGTGTCCTTATAAGAGAGGAGAGACAAAGCAGAGAAGATGAAGTGAAGGTAAAGCAGAGAAAGAGGTGGCTACAAGCCAAAGCATGCCAGCGCCACTAGAAATGGGAAGAGGCGAAGACTGAGTCTCCCCTGAGCCTCTGGAGGGAGCGTAGGACTTCTGGCATTCATACAGAGAAAGAATAACATGTCTTTCTTTT